CACTTAGAATGGGTCTACAGGGTCACACACCAATAGGGATGGACTTATACGTGAAGAATCCGAAGAATGGAAACGAGATTTGACCGAAACGAGCATGAAAAAGGGTTTTCAGTGTGTTGGTCCGGAGCTGACCAAGTTTGGTCAGCCCCGGACCAAGTCTGGTCAGATCAGGCAGTCCGGAAGAGTAGTCCGAGGTCGCCTGTCTAGGTCTGGTCCGGCTGACCAAGAGTTGGTCAGCCGCTGACCAGATTCCTGGACAGGCGGACCGAGAAATGGCAAGTCGGACCGAATTGACCAAGAAGGGTCTTGGTCCGGAGCTGACCACACTTGGTCAGCCGGACCAAGCCTTCAAGACTGGCGGACCGCGTGCTTCGGACTAAGCTTGGTCCGCCGGACCAAGCTCCTGGTTCGGCGGACCGGGATCTGGAAAATTTCCAAATATTCGTTTTTAGGGTTTTCTAATCTTATTTAAGTTTAGGGTTTCGTCTAAACTTAATGAGAGCCGACCTAAAACTCAGAGAAACACCCTAGAACCCTAGAGAAGCTGTTCTCTTGGATTTCTATTGTCCCGGGATTGGATCTCGTCTCTTGAGTTACCCTTTTCTTCACTAATCCTAGCAGATTCGTTCCAAATCGTTTGGAATCCTTCCCGTCGGTGTGGATACGTGTAGAGGGACTGTAACTTCAGTCCTAGGTGGTTTAGAACAGGCCCCGGATCGAAATAAACTTCAAGTCTCATCGAGAACGAGGTAAGTAACGATTCCCTCGGTGATATACACGATCTTTCGGGTTCTGCGAGTTTGGTTGCGTGTGACGTTTGACTAGGTTTAGATTTTTCTTCCGCTGCATGAAACCTAGTAAACCAAACCCTAGATCGATATGATCGCATGCTAGGAACCCGGAGATAACCCAACATCAAATACTCTCATAAAACCATAGAAAGTATCAATACATCGAATGTATCTGAATAAAGCTCATAAACAGTACATCATAGAGCATTAAACCAACACATTCATCCAGAGTTTTAGACTATTGAATCGAGAGATTAGTAGGATAAAGCCTGGATAGTGAGGTTAGACTCGAGAGGGTTAATCTCTACTTTAGAGCTTGAATTCTCTGAATCGGATAGATAAACCACTGAGTTTGCATCTTTTGAAAGACCCTTGCATGTAAAGCAATCCCGAAGCCTGCAGTGTTTTGCCATTGATAGTTTATCGTTTGTTTTTATTATTTGCTTTTGATACATTCTCATCATTCTCATATTTCTCTAGATCTAGATTTCGATTGGAATCTGATTTAGTTGTTTACTTGTCCCTGTGTTCGACCCTAGTTGCTACACATGATCCGTACACTTGCGGACTTTGTTGAGTCTAGGATATTATTACTTGATCAAATTTATACACCTAGATTTGCGACATCACGGGTATATCCCCCATGAGCTAGATTACAACGGGAAGAAGAGGTTCTTCAGGGATATCAAGGATTACTTTTGGGAAGAACCTTACCTCTTCAAGAGAGGCAAGGCTTTAGGAGATGTGTGCCCGAAGAGGAAGTCCGTAGTGTGATTCATCACTGTCACTATTCGGACTGTGCTGGGCATTTTAGAGCATCGAAGACCTCGGCTAAAATTCTTCAAGCCGGGTTTTATTGGCCTTCAATGTTCAAGGACGTTCATCAATACGTCTCATCTTGCGATGCTTGTCAGAGAATGGGGAACATCTCCCGCCGCCACGAAATGCCTCAACGATACATCCTGGAAGTTGAATCGCTCGATATATGGCGCATAGACTTCATGGGACCGTTCTCATCTTCTTATGGGAACCAATATATCCTCGTGACGGTCGACTATGTCACCAAGTGGGTAGAAGCGATGGCGAGTCCCACTAACGACTCGAAAGTGGTGACAAAAATGTTCAAGAGGGTGATCTTTCCAAGACTCGAGACGCCAAGGGTTGTAATCAGCGATGGAGGATCTCACTTCATCAACCGCACCATCGAAACTCCTTTGAAGAAGTATGGTGTGAGACATAAGGTGGCTACCACGTATCACCCTCACACAAGCGGACAAGTTGAAACCTCAAATAAGGAGATCAAGGCAATTCTCGAGAAGACGATGTCAAGATCAAGGAAGGATTGGGCATCTAAGTTGGATGATGCCCTTTGGGCGTATAGGACAGCCTTCAAGGCACCCATCAGTATGTCTCTTTTTCAACTTGTCTATGAGAAACCTTGTCACTTGCCGGTTGAGCTTGAGTATAGGGCATATTGGGCAATCAAAAAGCTGAACTATGATTGGAAATCCGTTGAGGAGAAACGAGTGCTACAGCTTCACCAACTCGATGAGATTCGGTTGGATGCCTACGAGAATGCCCGAATTTACAAGGAGAGGACTAAGAGATGACATGATCGTCGGATTTTGCAAAGAGAATTCAGAGAGGGCGATCAGGTACTTCTCTTTAACTCAAGGCTCAAACTGTTTCCAGGCAAGTTGAGATCGCCTTGGTCGGGACCTTTCACGGTTAAACACGTCTACCCTCACAGAGCGATAGAGTTATACGGCTATGGAGGAGATACATTCAAGACCAACGCGCAAAGGCTGAAGATTTACAACCCCGAGGAGCACGACAAGGAGAGGAGCTCGATGAGCTTCTCTGATCCTCAAGACGAGTAAGCAACCCCGCGGTCAAGCTTAGGACAATAAATAAGCACTCTCGGGAGGCACTCCGAGCTTGTACATATCCTTTTTCATATCCTTTTTGCATTGCATATTTCTTTTTCTGCATTTGGGAACTTAGACACATGATGTGATGATGTTATCTTGATTTTGCTTATGTATTCGCTATGATTATATCGGTTTCACTTGATCTTTTCTCTTTCTGAGTTCTGAGTTTGAAAGGTGAACATCACAATGCAACCAGGTCTATACACAATGTGGAATCCTTTGCAAGTGGAATGCACGGAGGTATCTTTTAACCTTGGACCCAAGGTTATGCACTCATTTTTTCCTCCTATTCCACTTAGCTCTGAATTTCCTATTCCACATATTCGGACCCTTCGGATTTGAGTGACACCGTGGATGGTGTCTCGTTCAAGTCTGGGGGGTGAGCATCTAACATCGGTTCAAGTCCCTTCTAGGATGTATTTCATACATTCACTTGCATATAAAAAAAATCATCATTTCTCTCTCACTATAGATGCATTCCACACTTGCATTGCTTGCATTTGTACATATAGATATCACTTAGTCTTGCATTGCATTTGTCACATATAGGTCTAGATCATGTAGGAGCATATGCATTGCATAAACCGTTTACAGTTGAGATTGATCGATGAAGGAATGATGGTGATAGTTGCTTAGAAATTGCCTAGTGAGTTGGACTTAGATCTTTCTAAGATCTGAGTAGATTGTCGATGATAGGTTAATAGCGAACCCTCTCTTTGATGCTTGCGATTTTAGGTTGTGGGTTATCTTGTTGCCTTTAGGTACACCAAAGAGTAGGATCGACCAAACCCAGATTAGATATTTCCCTAAAACCGTTCCCTAGTCTTTCCCATAGGATGGATAGCCTTTTGGAAAGAATAATGCAGGAACATGCGAAGAAAGTACACATCCCAACACTCCGGTATCACTATATCGCCAATGAAAATCATTCGATGACATGAGTGCGTCGGAATTCGACAGTTCGGGTCTAAGTTGTGGGACAAGTGTCATGATCACTAAAGAAAAGCAAAAAGCTAAGACACTTGTGAACTTCAACGTCCTAGGAACTCGGGATCATACTTCTCCAAGTCTTAGTCTCTTGAAAGAAAGAAGAAAAGAAAAAAAAAAGGGCGATGAAAGAATAAATGAAGAGACAACATACCTTAGGGAGAAAAACGGTAAATAGGTTTAGGAGAGTGCTTGGGGGTAGTGATTACTCTTATAGTAGAGTTTGGATGACATAGAAACCCCATACTTAGGAAAGTTAGCTGACAAGAGAGGATAGCTAGAGTAGCCTAGATTCGATTCTATTCCCATGAGCTAAGCAGTGGATACACAGCTAAATCTTGAAACTCACCAAAGACCGATCTCTTACTCACCACCCCGCTCAGTCTTTGTGTTTCACTGATTTTATTTGCTCGAGGACGAGCACAGATTTAAGACGGGGGGATTTGATGGCTCGGATTCTACTTGGACTTTATACGAGTATGTCTTTGGTTTCTTAACTGTTTTCACACACTCTTAGGCATTTTTAGAGCACATTTAGCTCTTTGGGACTATTTTCTAGGTTTTGGCAGGTCTACGAGGAGAATTGCAGATTTTGACGTAAAGCAAGGTAACCAGAGACTTGGATCGGACTAAATCGACGTCGGTTTGGCCGAATAAGACACCCGAAGATCTGGAGATGTTGCAGGGGGACATGTAGAACCAAACCGCTGTGCAGGAATCGAAACGGAGAGCTAAAAGAAGGAGAAGAGGTCTAGACCGATCGGTCTAGAAGACCCAGCCAGAATGGTCCACAGATCGGTCCAGGGAGAAGGCGTGCCGCGAGAAAACAGAACCTAGACCGATCGGTCTAGGCATCAGCCCAAGGCAGACCGATCGGTCTAGAGAAGGAAGAACGAATGCGGAAAAACGAGACCTAGACCGATCGTTCTAGGCCTCAGTATAGGCTAGACCGATCGATCTAGAGAAGAAACAGACGTCCGCGAAAAACCAGCCCTAGACCGATCGGTCTACCCCTAGATCGATCGGTCTAGACGAACTGGCAGATTAAAATCGCGAGTTTCGCGATTTTTAGGGCATTCGAACATTTCCGGACTTAGGGAGGAAAAGAGGTGACAGTTCTCTCTCATTTTGGAGACCTAGGGTCGAAATCTTGAATGGAAACCAAAGAGATTTGTTGGAGATTGAAGATTGAAGATTTTACTGAGCATTTCTCTTCTCTTTCTCTCTATGTTCCATCTTGTAAATTTTGTGTTCTTGAACATGAGTAATGAGTAGTTTTCTTGTTGTGGGATGAGGGATTAGCCCTCATATAAGGATGCTTGTATCAACCTTTGGACCCAAGATTGTGCTTTGTTTATGTTTTCAAACTCTTGCAATGAATGAAATTTGTTCTTCATGTTTATCTCTCATCTCTCTTGAATGAATGGTTAGGAAAACCTAGGATTTGTTGAATTGAGTGATGCAATTGTTTGGATTTGATTGCTAGAGTTTAATGAATGGTGTTCAATGTCTCCACTTGATGAGAATCTCATGGGTAGGACTTATAATTGAGAATCTCTTGGAGACATGGATTCTTGGTTTTGGTGCATTCATTGAAATGGGTTGAGATTGAATGCGAAGAGATTCAATTTAATCCAACCTAGGATTGTGACAAGGGAGTTTAATGCATTCGGGATTTTACTCTAAGCCACGAAAGTGGAAAGAGTACTCTCTTGGATAGCGGGTCTTCGATTTGAAAGAACTGAACCCGACCTTAGTCTTCGAATCCCTCACTTTAGAACGAACATGATCTAGGTCCATAATCCCTTATGACATCCTTGCATGATCGGTGAACCCCGATTCCCACAACCTGTCATATCGATCATCTTTTCTTGAATATTGCTTATCTTTGATTTTTGTTTTCCTTCTTTTAATTTTCTGCAACTTCCCAAAACAACAAAAACAATTCTCCAATTTTATCTTCACCCCTTTCCTAGTTTTAATCGACTCCTAGCTTAACCGCTTAAGTCCTTGTGTTCCACCCGGTACTACGACATCCGTATACTTGTGGATTAGTTGTGTTTCGGGTTGTAAATTTAAGACTCGTCACGCAAAGTGATCAGTGATCGCCAACTTGGTCCATTTAAACTCCGAAAACACTGTTTTAGCTCCTTTTTAGTCTAAATACGCGAATATACCTGAAACGACATCAAAGAGCAAAGAAAACGGTTTTTGATGTCTAAAATGCAGTCTAACTACTTAATATGTACGGAAAAGAGAGGTGAAATGTAGCTAAAACTATAGAAAAATAACGTCAAAAATCGGTGTTATCATCGATCTCTAACCGAGTCAGCATCACAATATCTCCGTGTGTCCATTCTTTCTTGTGCATATCCCTTAGTGTTCTCTTGACATATCTTAATATTTGTTCTACCATGCTCTAGTTCTGAGTTGTATGTGAATGCCTCTTGGACAGAATAATGCAGAATAATGCAGGAACATGCACAGAAAGTACACATCCCAACACTCCGCTGTCACTATATCGCCAATGAAAATCATTCGATGACATGAGTGCGTCGGAATTCGACAGTTCAGGTCTAAGTTGTTGGATAAGTGTCATGATCACTAAAGAAAAACAAAAAGCTAAGACACTTATCAACTTCAACGTCCTAGCAACTCGGGATGATACTTCTCCAACTCTTACTCTCTTGAAAGAAAGAAGAAAAGAAAAAAAAAAGGACGATGAAAGAATAAATGAAGAGACAACATACCTTAGGGAGAAAAACGTTAAATAGGTTTAGGAGAGTGCTTGGGGATAGTGATTACTCTTATGGTAGAGTTTGGATGACATAGAAACCCCATACTTAGGAAAGTTAGCTGACAAGAGAGGATAGCTAGAGTAGTCTAGATTCGTTTCTATTCTCATGAGCTAAGCAGTGGATACGCAGCTAAGTTTTGAAACTCACCAAAGACCGATCTCTTACTCACCACCCCGCTCAGTGTTTGTGTTTCACTGATTTTATTTTGCTCGAGGACGAGCAAAGATTTAAGACTGGGGGGATTTGATGGCTCGGATTCTACTTGGATTTTATACGAATATGACTTTTGTTTCGAAACGGTTTCCACACACTCTTATGCGTTTTTAGAGTCCATTTAACTCTTTAGGACTATTTTGCAGTTTTTGGAAGGTCTACGAGGAGAATTGCAGATTTTGACGTAAAGCAAGGTAACCACAGACTTAGATCGGACTGAATCGATGTCGGTTTGGCCGAACCAGACACCCGAAGATCTGGAGACGTTGCAGGGGGACATGTAGACCAAACCGTTGTGCAGGAACCGAAACGGAGAGCTAAAAGAAGGAGAAGAGGTCTAGACCGATTGGTCTAGACCTAGACCGATCGGTCTAGAAGACCTAGCCAGAACGGTCCATAGATCGGTCCAGGGAGAAGGCGTGCCGCGAGAAAACAGAACCTAGACCGATCGGTCTAGGCACCAGCCCAAGGCAGACCAATCGGTCTAGAGAAGGAAGAACGAATGCAGAAAAACGAGACCTAGACCGACCGGTCTAGGCCTCAGCATAGGCTAGACCGATCGATCTAGAGAAGAAATAGACGTCCGCAAAAAACCAGCCCTAGACCGATCGGTCTACCCCTAGATCGATCGGTCTAGACGAACTGGCAGATTAAAATCGCGAGTTTCGCGATTTTTAGGGCATTAGAACATTTCCGGACTTAGGGAGGAAAAGAGGTGACAGTTCTCTCTCATTTTGGAGACCTAGGGTCGAAATCTTGAATTGAAACCAAAGAGATTTGTTGGAGATTGAAGATTGAAGATTTTAATGACCATTTCTCTTCTCTTTCTCTCTATGTTCCATCTTGTAAATTTTGTGTTCTTGAACATGAGTAATGAGTAGTTTTCTTGTTGTGGGATGAGGGATTAGCCCTCATATAAGGATGCTTGTATCAACCTTTGGACCCAAGATTGTGCTTTGTTTATGTTTTCAAACTCTTGTAGTGAATGAAATTTTGTTCTTCATGTTTATCTCTCATCTCTCTTGAATGAATGGTTAGGGAAACCTAGGATTTGTTGAATTGAGTGATGCAATTGTTTGGATTTGATTGCTAGAGTTTAATGAATGGTGTTCAATTCTCCCACTTGATGAGAATCTCATGGGTAGGATTTAGAATTGAGAATCTCTTGGAGACATGGATTCTTGGTTTTGGTGCATTCATTGAAATGGGTTGAGATCGAATGCGAAGAGATTCGATTTAATCCAACTTAGGATTGTAACAAGGGAGTTTAATGCATTCGGGATTTTACTCTAAGCCACGAAAGTGGATAGAGTACTATCTTGGATAGCGGGTCTTCGGTTTTAAAGAACTGAACCCGACCTTAGTCTTTGAATCCCTCACTTTAGAACGAGCATGATCTAGGTCCATAATCCCTTACGACATTCTTGCATGATTGGTGAACCCCGATTCCCACAACCTTTCATATCGATCATCTTTTCTTGAATATTGCTTATCTTTGATTTTTGTTTTCCTTCTTTTAATTTTCTACAACTTCCCAAAACAACAAAAACAATTCTCCAATTTTATCTTCACCCTTTTCCTAGTTTTAATCGACTCCTAGCTTAACCGCTTAAGTCCTTGTGTTCGACCCTGGTACTACGACATCCGTATACTTGCGGATTAGGTTTGTTTCAGGTTATAAATTTAAGACTCGTAACGCAAGTGATCAGTGGTCGCCAACTTGGTCCATTTAAACTCCGAAAACAGTGTTTTAGCTCCTCTTTAGTCTAAATACGCGAATATACCTGAAACAACATCAAAGAGCAAAGAAATGGTTTTTGATGTCTAAAATGCAGTCTAACTACTTAATATGTACAGAAAAGAGAGGTGAAATGTAGCTAAAACTATAAAAAAAATAACATAAAAAATCGGTGTTATCATCGATCTCTGACCGAGTCAGCATCGTAATATCTCTGTGTCCATTCTTTCCTGTGCATATCCCTTTACTTAGTGTTCTCTTGACATATCTTAATATTTATTCTACCATGCTCCAGTTCTGAGTTGTATGCGAATGCATACATTTGCTAACCTGATGCACAACAAATGACAAGTTAGGATGTGTGACAGTTAAATATATGAGCTTACCTACCACTCTTCGATAGAGTTCGACCTCTTCAAATGGTTCCCCCTCTGGATGATCTTTGAAATTTTTCTGGATTGGTTTCCTACCGGTTTTGCTCCTAGTTTACCTATAACATCAAGAAGATCAAATGTGTACTTTTGTTGGGATAGAAATAATCCCACGGTTGAGCGAGTTACTTTTATTCCAAGAAAGTACTTCAAGTTATCTAGATCCTTAATATCAAACATGTTCTTAAGAAATGCTAATAATTTAGGTACCATTTTGAATAATAATTTACAAAGTTTAGGGTTTTTTTTCCAAAAAAAAGTTTAGATATATTTTTTGAAAAGTATTAATAAGTTAAGTTTTTTTATTTTCTCTAGTTTTTATAATTCGAAAATTCACTGTACAATGCATCTTTAAGAGGATCGGAGAAATCCATTTGAATGTCGTTCTCTATATGGAGACTCAAACTTGGAATAGGAATGAGTTTTGTTCCATTTCTTACCATTTGAACTACCTAATCTTGTGTTATATATATATATAAGTTGGTTATAACTCTAAAGAAAAAACATTGAATCATTCAATTTATTTTAGGATACATCATAAGTTCATTTCAGAGGCAATATATGCTTCGACCAGGTCCACCGAAGAAGAGGTGTGATCCCAACTTAGGGTGAAAACGGTAATAAAATAAATTGTAACATTCCTTCTGAGAGATGAGGTGAAAACCTTCTCCAAGCTCCTTCTTCACGTTCCCCTCTAGTACAGCGGCTTATTAAGGATGCCTTCCCACGACCATCCTGCGGGTAAAAACAACTTCCCATGCAAGTGGAAGTGTGTTGCCCAAACCTCTTTACATTCTTGATCTCTCCTCCCCATGCCGCTATCGGTGCCGTGTCCTTTAGCAATGGAAAGAGTGAGTTCGGCCAATACCCGACTTGGTGATTATTGGTTAGGAGCCACCAATTCTCGCTCCCACGATCCTACCATGCATCAAGTCGTTAGTTTATCAATATATGATGTGAAACATGAATGTATTCGGTTTTTCCCATCTTTTTGTTATACCTTCCTTATAAGAAAGATGCATTTATATTCTGGACCACGAGGAGTTGAATAGTGGTTGAAGGCCGCACCAACAGCGGTCTTGCTACTGGTTTGGACAAAGCTCTCACATTTGAGGTCATAACAGCCTGTTTTGTCGTACCCATCACCCTGTTTTGTTGAGTTTTCCATTAATTTGATCGTGGTACATGAGAATATGTGGCTTAATCGCTAGGCCATATATGGATACGGAAACGGACCGAAAAAATATTAGATGAAACTTACAGTCCAATAAATAAAGAGTCTCGTGTTTTCATCGCCGTACAATGCTGGATTTACCTATAAGCAAAATGCAAACAGAAAGAATCATCACATGTTTTTTTTCAATCATGACAGAAATATGAAACAAAGCCTACGAACGAGAAACCTGCCAACCTGCTTCCATCGCATTAACTGCGCGCTCCTCTTCATTCATGCTAGAAATCCACATCTGGCTCGCACTTATTTCATCATCCTGTTCAACAAATGGTTTCCACACAGTCATCCAGGCCTCGCTTTCTTGGTAACCTCCATTCTCCACTATCAACATGGCATACTAATGCAAAAAAAAAAATCAAAATTTATTTAAAAAACAACAATATATGTATGAGGATTCAAAATTTGTGAAATTGCGAATCGAAATGGAAACCTAATAATCCTCTAGCAATGTTTAGCACTGGTCCGAGTTCTATAACGAACTCAAAAATTTTAAGAAAAATCTAGGAATGAAATTAGAAGAACACTTGGAAGGGAGATATTTAAAAAAAAAAATTATTTCCATTGATTTCGCGTCGTATTACAACGAAAGGAAATATGATTATTTATACTCATTTCATAACAACTATTCATATAAATGTCCTAAATAAAATATTTTAATATCAAGATTTTCTATTATAATATCTAAATATGTTATTATAACTATCTACACTTTTCTAACTAAATATCTAGATATGTTTCTTATAAAAATTTTAGAAATTAGATCATAAATTAATTTTGGATTCGGCCCCAATTTATTTTGGATCAATGATCCAAAATTAAACTTAGCTTAAATTAATTTGATTGAAGTTTAAAATTAATCAAAATCAAGTTTAACTTCAGCAATATACCTCACGGTTTTCCAAGGAATCTTTTTGAGTTAGGTGAAATCGAGATCCATGGCTGCTATAATTTGAATCTTTTTTTCCGTAATTTTTTATGGAACCCCAACGTAAGAGGTCTTCTCTTGTTGTTCTCCTTATTGGAACGGTGCTCTCTGGACATTCTCCGTTCCTATGCCATACCTGAGCTATGCCACCAGTTTTTGAGGAAGGATCTTCTTGGAGAAAACTTGGCCTCATCTATTTGACATCATTCAGATCATAACAGTATAAGAAAATATTGTGAGAAGAAATAGCAAATCAATGCTTTAGAAGTGAAAATATAAGACAAAAAGATTTAAAAGACGACATACCAAATAATTTCTACAGATAAGACATACCTGAATAGTGTGGTTCTTTAATAAAGGGTGATCGAAAGCGGGTTGATTGGTAATATGAACACAATCTATTATATCTCCATCTGGACTCTGTTCAAAAGTAAAATAACAACATAACATAATCCAAAACATGAACGGTGTTCATCTCGTGACTCAGTTTTCCAACAAATGTATAAATAACAAAACATTTAAGAAATCTTATAGTTTATATATCCATTGAACTTACTTACTTTGATAGATTTAACATCAGGTTTGTTGATTAGTTCCAAGTGTCTTTGTATCTCAACCTCTTGCAATTCTGAAATATCGGTCTTTGCGGAGGAAGTTGTGATTATCAACATCGTGATTCCCGGAATCAGCAGCAAATTGATCGCCCGATCAGCCATGACGACATGAGATGCCATTCAAAAAGACAGAGATCAAAAGCTTTGAGATTGTTGGTATGGCTCTCGTTTCTAAATGTTTGGGATTTACAGACATAGAATTGGTCCATAGCCCAAACAATCGGATTTGTTTCCAGCGATACAGGTGACTTAGTACATATAATAGATTATTTCCTAATGTTTGGGACTTATATTCGTAGAATTGGTTCATTTTATGGATAACTTCAAATGTAGAAATGGAAATTATAAATTAAAAAGCACAACCCAAAAAATTCAAAATGAAAAAAATGGACTATGAATCTCTTGAGAGATTTATAAATCCATCAATTTACTCTAAAATATCCAACAATCCTCCACCATTTTAGAGTAAATTATCCTTGGAAACCGATCGACAATCCGTGATCCTCACAACTTTGTGCATAAATGAATGTATCTTTCGGCTGAACTTCCACTTAGTGTAACGTACAACAATAAACTCGAATTACATAGATGTCGAAACGATTGAACCTAGTAATCCTAATTGAGCTACCGAGTATAAAATATACACGAAGTTGATACAAGTTTTTTTGCAATCCTTGACACTATAATGACCATGTGTCCATATCCATTCACAAGCACACGGATGTTGAGCCATCAACATCTTGAAGCGGCCTCACTTGATGCTTGTATAGGTGAATTCTTTATGATATTGTGTCTTACAACTAAGCACTTTGTCAAATGACTCATTAAGTAAAACATCCTCTTTACATTGCATAACCTAGATGCCTACCTCGGGATGTGTAGTCGTGAAGCATCTACAATCACATAGTAAAGGATTTAACTCATTGAACTCAAGATCTAGCATTATACTAGACGTTGAGTTGAGATTCCTTTACTGCAATTCATAAAACCGGCTCTAGTCCCATCCCTTGCGATATTTTGTGTACCACATCCCTTGGCAAGCTATTTATGAAAGCGTCCGCCGAATTTTGTTTGATCCGCACAAAATCCACCATTGTGCAATGCCAAATATGGAATTCTAAGACACCGGTTTAGTTCTTGCGAATTCTATCATCGATAATTCGTCTTCCTCGTTGAATCCTCTCAAAGTCAATTACCGAAAGAAAACAGACAAAACAAGAATGTAAAGACACAGGGGATTACGAGTTCAGTACGATCGCTGTGATAGTACCTACGTCTCGAGAGAGAGAGGTTTGTTTATTAGATGATCTCATGTTCTTAGTTACAAGAGAACACCAAAGGAAATTTCAGAAAGATTAGCAATGGTGGAACTGGATTCTCGGTTCTGCTCTTTATTTAACTCATCAACTAACTCCTTGGAAAATTTCCACTTTGCCCTTTTTTTCGTTAACGTCATTTGACCTTCTGAATGAACCAGAGTCTTCAACTCATTTGTTTACTCAGGTAGCTTTCAACAAAACTCCACCTTACCTGAGAAATACCAACCTTCGATTTTCAATTCAGTTTACCTCTTTCTCTGTGTCACACATCTAATCTTCTGACACTCGAAGCAAGCTCAGCAGTGTACTGAGCCTACTTACAGGGATGACCTTTGTTAACAAGTCTACGAACATCAATGTGCTTCATCCTCTCATGATGAACTGAGTTCTTGGACAAATCTATAGCGCTTTGTGAATCACACATCACTTCAACGAACTTCTGGTCAAAACCTAGCTCAGTAACTAATCCTTTTAGCCAAAGTTCTTCCTTTAGAGCATATGACAAACCAAATATTCTGCTTCAGTTGTGGAGAGAGCTACCACACTTTGTAGTCTTGACTTCTAACACAATTGCCACCGACAGTAAAAACAAAACCAGTTACTGACCTTCGTTTATCCAGATCTACTGCATAATCCGAATCACAAAATCCTTTTATAGTAAACTGCTATGTTTTTCTATACTTCAGTCCATAACCTGCTGTAGCCATCATGTATCGCAAAAACCATTTCACTTTTTCCCAATGACTTTTCTCTGGTCGTCCCATAACCTGCTGATCACACCTATAGAATAAGCAAGATCAGGCCTAGTTTTGATCGTTGCATACATGATACTACCCACTGCATTTGAATATGGAATAGAATCAGCAAATTCTGCATCAAACTCTTCTGCTTCTTAGCTTGAACTCAGTTTAAAATGTGCTCCTATAGGCGTATGAACCTCCTTGGCATTCTCCATATTGAAACTCTTCAGCACTTTATGGATGTACTCAGATTGTGACAAGGCCAGGGTTCCAGCAGCTCGATCTCTTATGATTGTCATGCCTAAATCTTCTTGGGAGAGCCTAGGTTCTTCATATCAAACACGTTATTAAAAATTGGAGAAAAAAATAAGAACAAAATCGAACCGAGGGACCAAATATCCCTTCAAGGCGTGAAGACACTTTTCTAAAACTGTTATTCCGTCTGTTACGAGCAAGGACTTCCGGAATACGATTCTGAGATACAATGAAGAGAAATACATTCTAGAATTGTTCGTTCAAGAATGCATAGACAAGGAAACATGAAGAAGAAGATGAACGAAAGCTTTCAGGAGAGTTTTTGCAAGAAACTACCGAAAGTGCTCTCAAAATCTCTCAAAAAAAATTAGATCTCATGTCTTCAACATTCTCTGAATATTTTTGTGATAAACCACTAGAGACATCGTCAAAAGTTGCATCAATTTATTAGTTTTCATGCAAAAAATCGCATTTGTTCATGTTCCAGATATTTAACATGGTCTGTGTCAAATCTGATACGGTCAATGTCAAATGTCTGTGCAAATATAACATTCTCTCAGAGAATTGACACGGTCCGTGTTGCACCTGACACAGTCCGTGTCAAATTTTTGAGCAAAAAACAATATTTTCTTAGAGAATTAACACGGTCCGTGTTGAATCTAACACGACCGTGTTATATTTGACATAACCCGTGTTGAATTTAACACTGCCCGTGTTGGAATTAATATGCTTGTGTTACAACCTGTGCAGAATTTCTGCACTTAAATTTCACAACTAGTTACAAGTACATATTTCACCAAACACATGTATATACTTAATCAATTCATACTATATCATTTACAAATATATAACTCCTACACCATATTCATAATATATATAAATACGAATTTCTTGAGAGATTATTATTAAACCCATTCATTTACTCTAAAAATTACAACAATCCTCCACCATTTTTAGAGTAAAATAAACAATGGAAAATCAACCAATTAATCATTCATCTTCACAATGTTGCGCATAAATAAAAGTATCTTTACGATTGAACTTTCACTTAGTGTAATATACAACAATAGACTCGAATTCTGTAGCTGTCAAAAACGATTAAACCTACGTAATCCAAGTTGAGCTACAAAATATACACACACACAAAATCAATACATTTCCCTGTATATCTTGACACTATATCGGCCATGTATCCATATCTCCTTCATATGCCGAGCCTCCAGCATCTTGAAGCGGCCACACTTCATGCTCTCATAGGTGAATTCTTTCAAATCGTGCTCTACGACAAAGCAAGTTATCAAAGAATTCATTAAGTATGAAATAACCTCTTTACGTTGTATACCAAGATGCTTAACTCGGGATGATTCCCTTCTAAGTATCTACAACCAGATATTAGAGGATTTAACTCATTGAACTCAAGATCTAACGTTGTATTTAGACGTCGAGTTGAGATTCCTCTAAATGTGATTTAATCAATA